TCTCCGCAAGTTTAGCAAACACCTCAATTAGCTTAAGCTTGGTTCGACATTTCTGCAACTGAGCGATGTTCTTCCATCTCAAGTCAACGGCCGTCTATGTCAGCCATCCTCACAAGCACATCAATTTGCTTCTCCCTGGTCTTGGCCTGCCTCTCCACTTCCTCCGCTATCTGCTCGGTGGTGGTCGTCAAAGCTTTCAACATCTCAAGCATCCCTTTCGAAGGCAGCACCCGGTTCCTTGGACCATCGTCAACATCTTACCTGGCACGTCGCCCGCTGGAAGGCAAACTTGTTTCACCCTCTGATGCCTGCGGCCATGGAAGTGTGTCCCCACCACATGAATCAGAGGACAGACCTTGCATGTTTCTCCTGTGTGCATCCAATACCCGATTGCCAATGATAGACTCCTTTTTCCAAAAAAAGGGAGAGCATGACGGTGTGCTGGTCCTCCTCAAATCTGATTGGCAGGTCCTCTTTCTTGCGGCGCTCGGCTGACATGTGGAATTCTCCTCACCAGTCCTCTTATGCCAGTCTAATATCTTCTTCCAATCACGCGACAGATCCCCCCATTTGTTCTTGCATGATTTGTGGTCTTTCCCGCTCATCCCGCAGATCTCTCTAACAGCGCTCCCAATCCGCCCCCACTTCACTGGCGCCTCGTCCCATTTGCCGTAATCGGGGTCGAGGGCAACCTTAGCTGCCACTGCGTGCTTTGCTTCAGTAAGTGCAAATGTCATTTCACGATCCCATGCTTCACCACGGCATTTCTTCCCTCCAGCATTCGCATGACCTGCTGAGGCCTCTTTCCCTCCAGCATAAGCATGATAAGCTGAGCTCTCTTTCCCTTCAGCATTCACATGATCCGCTGTGAAACAGTTTTCACCTTTGCCGTAGCAGATGCAGATCCCAGGGCTCGATCCCTAGACCTCACCTCACCCGTGTACAGTACCCCTGCGTGTTTGAAGCCGTGACCTGCGTTTTAGGAGTCAGTTGTTGATTGTCGTAGGTCGAAGTAGCTGTCGGGTCTTGAACCGTAGGTCTGTCGGGTAGGGGTCATAGTTGTGTAAAGGCCGTAGCTGTAGAAATTCTGAAAGGTCAAGGTCATAGCTGCTATACTCCTGAAAGGTCAAGGTCGTAGCTGCTACAGCGCTGAAAGGTCAAGGTGGTAGCTGCTACAGTCCTGAAAGGTCAAGGTCGTAGCTGCTACAGTCCTGAAAGGTCAAGGTCGTAGCTGCTACAGTTCCGAAAGGTCAAGTCCGCAGGTTTCCGGAAGGTCCGGAAGTGGCCTTTCGAACGTTGCTCACAGCAGACCAAAGACACGTGGGCAAGTGGTGAGTCCAACCTTGCTTAGTCAGCGGTACACAGTCCCAGTCTCACTTCGTCCAGTCAGCAAGTACCATGTGGGACTGTGTGCACCATGGGCCCGGTGGAAAGGAGCAGACCAACAGAAGTATAAATCAAGAGGCAGCGTCCAGCCATTCATTCATTCCTGCATGAGCCATGCGGAAGTGCTTCCCAGGCGTCTTGTGCGAGGTGGTCTGCAGATGCCCGGAGTCGAAGTGGGCTGAAGGAAGGAGATGGCATCCAGTGTTAGTCGTAGCAAGCGGCCATAGCCGCCATAGGTTAGAGATAGTGTTTCAGTGTGTAAGTGAGTGTGAGCGGAGTACAGCATAAGTGCGTGTGGGATATCCAGGGAGATCCAGAGTTGAGTGTGTGTAAACAGTGGATGTCAACTCTGAGTGGTTAAGTGAAGCGAAGGCGTTCAATCGCCATAGCCATTCTGAAGCGAGTTTGTATCTGAGTTGTGTGGGCGCCTAGAGCCAGTGTGAATAGCCATCTGTTTGAACGTATGCGAAGTGAAGAAAAGCGAGTCTGATTGCATTGGTATCAGAGCTGGTTCCCGCTATTCCTCGCGCCGTGGTCGTCAAGCCGTGTGCCTAGGTTGGGCACCATAGTTAAAGCCGCGCCACCAAGAAAAGGAGGACCGCCATAGCTGCGCCACGGTCGTCATAGTTGAAGCCGCGCCACCAAGAAAAGGAGGACCGCCATAGCCGCGCCACGGAAGAAATATTGTGCATCTGCAAAGAAACAGCGAAGAAGAGAGAGAGAGAGAGAGAGGAGCAATACAAGATTGGTTGTGCAGTCCCATAGCCGAGTTGAGCATTGACTACGGCGTTGACCCCAGGATTGACCTGGGGTTGACCAAAGCGTTGACCGAGGAGTTGACCTACTGAGGCATTGGCCGGGAGGTTGAACGACGTTGACCAGCGTTGACCGGAGCTGTTGACCACAAATTTGACCAAGCTGGAGTTAGTATATTCTCGCCAAGC